TCTATAACTCTTCTTGAGTCAAAACCAGAGCATGTTACTGCACCGTGCAGAAGATGCTGAAGCTCTGACAGCTGAGGCTGGGTCATTTGCAAGGAGTGCTGTCAGAGCACCACTGCAGAAGGCAGCACAGAGGAGGGCTGTGCAAACACTTCTCTGCCTGGGCTAATATTTACGGCGTCACACTCTGCTCTTTACGGGGCTAGAGACAGACAGCAGACACTCACAGCTCATATTAACACCTGTGCACTACAGAAATATTAACCTAATGCAAACAACCCAGCAGAAGTTAATGTCTGTATTCACAGAAAACCAAATAAAAACCTCTTTCATTTCCTAGCACGAGTGTTAGTGCCCTAAACAGCTCTAGCTGCTCATTGCCAAAGAGGGTTCATGGGTTTGACACCCAGGGCAGCCACCCATAGTATTTTGTTTCAGTGCCTGTGGTATTTTGCCACTTCTGGCTCAGATAGTTTTATTCTTTTGTTCCTATGAATAAAATATTCAAAGCTGCTCTTGCATTTTAACCTTGGCATGGCTCACAGCAGGAAAATCAGACACATTTAGGTGCCTGTCTGGATAGGTACAAAGTTAATAGTTTATTGGGTAGACTATATCTTTGTTGAGAATAACCCTGTAACTCATCCTACAGGAAAAAGGAACTAACAAATTTAATTTAGGGTGAGCAACTGACAAGCTGAACAACAGAACTTTGGTCCAGAGGAACTCTGAGAAATGAGAGGACCAAGTCAGCAGACACCTTGTAAAGCTTAGGAAGAAGAGTGCAGTTCTGTGACAGGGCATGGTTGCCCCATGCATCTGGTGTGGATGGGGACTGCCTGAAGGAAATTATTCCTGTCTACTGGGCTCTGGTGTGGCCACACCTGGACTGCTGTGTGCAGGTCCCTACCCCTGAAGTTCAAGAGGGATTTTGAGGAACTAGAAAAAGTCCAGTGGAGGACTAACAAGATGGCAGCATGTGACTTACAAAGAGCTTAACAGAGCTGGGCTTGTTTGCTTGGCAAAGAGGAGTTTCAGAGACAATCTATTATCAACTTCCAGCTACTGGACTGAGAGCTGCGGAGGTGACAAATCCGAACTCATGCTGGCAATGACAGGGGATGTAAGAAGTGATGAGGGCCACAATGTGCAGCTTGGGTTGTTCAGGTGGAAAAGCTTTTGCGCCAAAACTTGGTGTGGTGCTAGAACAGGTTATCCAGAGACATACTGGAGTCTGTATCCAAGCTTGTAGAAGAAGCCACAGCTGACCTGCTCACGTTGGTGGTAGCACTGCCGAGCACGTGGCAATGGCTGTGCCTCTGCTTGGATGGCAGACTCCAGCAATCCAAGTAATGAGCAGCTTAGAAGAAAAATTACTTGTAATAGGAAAGCCAAAGTATTTATTTGAGAGAAGAAAGGAGGAGCTCCTTAGAACAGCACTGCTCTACTACCTTAAGTCTAATTTTTTTTCAGAGAATCATAGAATGCCAGGTTGGAAGGGACCTCAAGGATCATCTGGTTCAAGCATCTTAGGTACTACTGTAGTTGATATGAGGTGGCTCAGCAGCCTGTCAAGCTGAGACTTAAAACTGTCCATTGTGGGGGAATCTACCTCTTCCCTTGGGAGACTGTTCCAATGTTGGACTGTCCTCATGGTGAAAAATTTACCTTGTATCCAATCAGAATCTCCTCAGGAGCAACTTGTGCCTATTGCCCCTTGTCTTTTCCATGTGACTTCTTGTAAATAAGGAGTCTCCATCCCCTTGGCAGCCACCCTTTAAGTACTGGAACATGGTATTGAGGTCTCCCCTGAGCCTTCTCTTCTCAGGGCTGAACAAACCCAGTTTTCTCCTCATATGGCAGGTCCTCCAGTCCTCTGATCATCCTCGTGGCCCTTCTCTGGACCTTCTCCAGCCTGTCCCATCCTTTTTGTAGAGCAGGGCCCAGACTGAAGGCAATACTCCAGGTGTGGCCTGACCAACACAGGTGGAGTGGGATGATGACCTCTTTCTCTGCTGGTGATGCCCTTTTATGATGCAGCCCAGCATCCTGCTGGTTTCTTTGCCCTGCAGCACACTATGCACTCATGGTGAACCTGTTGTCCACCAAGACCCCAGGTCCCTTTCCACAGGGCTGCTCTCCAGCCAGGTGGATCGCAGTCTGAACTGTGCTCCTGGGTTGTGTGTTCCCAGGAGCAAGACCTCACATTTCTCCCTGTTGAACTTCCTAAGGTTCCTGCTCACCCATTCCTTCAGCCTATCTAGGTCACCCTGGAGGGTGGCTCTCCCTTCTGGAGTGTCAACCTCTCCATTAATCTTGGTGTTGTCCACAGACTTCATCAGAATGCTCTTGATCCCAACATCCAGGTCACTTATGAAGATGGTGTAAGGACAGCAAAGGGCAGTGGTCCCTGCTCCTACCTTTCAGAGCTGGGGAAAACAGAACCAGGGGCAGCAGGCTCCAGCTGTTTGCAGTAGGTTTTTCTTTTAATTGCTCCTGTACATGTTTCCCTCTTTGCGTGTCAGAGACGGGCACATGGCAGGGAAGCAGCACAGGGGCTGTTTACTTTACATCTTATCA